CCCCCCCCCAGCCCCTCTTCCCCGACCCTGGTACTTACCAGCTCGGAGTCAGCTGCAGCTCCCTGCTGCAGCCACCTGGGACTGCCCGAATCATCAAAGCTCTTTGAATCTTTGCCGAAGATTCAGAGAGCTTTGCATTGATTAGGACCTTTAAATTGGTCCCCTCATTCAATTCGGAGATTCGGCCACCGAATCGGGCCAAATCTTCTCCGAATTAAATCGCCACCTGAAGCTTTGCACAGCCCTAGTGAATATTCACACCTACAATTCAACCAGGTTTGCACCTCTGTTCAAAATTTTTTAGGGGTCTGCAAATGAAAGATTGAAAACCACTGTCCTAGAGCAGGTGAAGTGTGGTGGTTGTCCCCTCTCCTCACTCCCACCCTGTTTTGATCACAACAAAATAAGCTGTTCTTTGTGATATCATTGACCTTTAAAAGTTAAAGAGTGGTGATATCAATACAACTCAGAATAAAGCATAGTTAACCCTGTCCCTGTCCTAGCAGGGAAAGGACTGCACTCTGTTTCTACCATATTACTATATTTGTGTAATAGCACGTGATAATGCTTGCTGTTGTATGATTATGCAAAAATGTCCCTCTCATTGCTTATATACAAGAGTAAAGAGTGCTGCAGAAGGCTTACCTTTGAATTTTCTGATGTCTGTAAACTTAAAAGCTCAGATTTATTGTTACATTAACTGAAAACCAATTATTTTTGCTAGTGAGGGAAGTTCCCAGTGAACTTTTTCTTTTTTTTAAAGCCTGTATTTTGTTCAGTATTTGTCCACATAGTACCCACACTCTATGTGTATAGTCTTTCTCCATGTGCTTTGGACAGCTAGGATACTTGCATAGAGGTTTCTCTGTTGGAGAACCTCAGGAAGATGTCCTTGGACCTGGAGAAGAAGGGTTGTGCTAAAAGTCAGTCCTCCATCCAGTCCCTCTCAACTAGCACCCCTGTGAGCAGCAATTCTGCTCTGAGTTTCAGAGCTTTCCCACTGAACACAGTTACCTTCAAGCCATGTGCCAATTGCCTCAAGAAGGGATTAAAAGGAGTATAATTCTAAAGAAAAGACTAGAGAGAATTCTTCCTCTCCAGAGCCTTTATACTTAGCACACGAAAGCTAACGGATTAGGACTGTCTCACGCTCTACATGTGAAGCGCACCCAGCAGCAAAGGCCTTCTGGCATCTCTGTACTGCTATAAGAATAACCACCCTACCAGCATTATTTGATTCTTTCCTCCATCTTTCTTGCTATGCAGTCCACTGTCGTTGTCCTCTTTTGGCACCTATGCTTTGTTCAGCGCCAAGTGACCAGATTATGGATCAGTGCTGCTGTCACCCTGGCTGGATCTTACAATGTCAGCTAACAAGATCTTCAGCCACTAAACCACAATACTGCAAATAGTAGACTCACTATCATCTATTTCCTCTACCTGAACAGAAGGGCTACAGCACATCCAAAAGGCAGACCCATCACAAGAGGGCTTTCACCATTTCATTGTCCGTATCTTGGACATCACACTAGAAAGCAAGGAGGGATGCAGAAGATTGCTCTCTGAGCAGAAAAGGCATGCTTTCGCATGGAGTGAGTGCTCTGGCTTCTTCATCTCTGTCTGCTAGTCGGGTATGGAGAAGCTTACCAGTGATGGGCCTACTGGGTGCCATGGGGAATGCAGTCCTATTCACATAGCAACTGTCCCCAGGATTAAATCCCCTTTCCCTAAAAGGCAGAATAGATCTTCCCAACCAGGTTAGTTAGTGTGAGTACAGATTGTAAAGCAAAAGGAAGTGGAGAGTGAGGACAATCAACATAGAAAGTTGGCCTTTAAGGGCTTAAATGCCCTTTTGCACCGCTTTAATGGTACAGCTGTTTACACTGTCGGCAGCGTAATGCGCATTAAATGACTTTGGGATGCAGCAAAATAAAACATGTCTAAGGTGTTTTAGTTTGCTACCTTACAGCTGCAGAGGGAAGCACCGGGCCTTGTGCAGCCCAGGGGCTGTGCAGGCAGCCCATGCAGGCAGGCTTCACCCAAGGGGGGGAAAAAGCGGTGAGCCTAATCTTTTTTTTTTTCTTTCCCTCCCTGGAGCCGGCCTGCCTGCCCAAGCTGCACATGGGCCCGGTGCTTCCCTCTGCCTTGGTGCTTCGGTCTAGGCTGACCTCCCTGTGAGGGAATTTGAATTCCCACATCCCAGGACACTGCCCTACCCAAGCTTTGCTGGCTAAGCAGCCTGAGAGCACCCATCTGGCAAAGCTAGACTATGCTACCAGCACTCTTCGTGCATTTTGCATTAGTCAGTGGAA